CCGCGTGACGTCACCGCGTGATGTCACGGCGGAGGGGAGTGGCGGGGCGGGCTTCGTTACCGTGCGGAGGAGGGGGAGGGGAGCGCTGACTCACCCGCCGCGTCACTGCTGGTGTGTGGGGGGGCTTGGCTTGGCGCAACATGTCACAATATATTACTGTATAGATCTGCCTATGAGATTTGTTTGTTACATAGTGCCACAAAAATTTGTTGGTACCATGCTATAAATTTAATATTTAAAAAATATTAATCTGAATCTGGTAACATATAGACACAGAGTATGGTGGAATATGTATAAAAAACAGTGAACAATTGAAGTGCTGCCATATTTCTTTCTCTTTCCATCTTGAGTGTAGTTTTTAGAATTGTTTTTTTTTACAAGAATCAATGCAAGAAAAACATATGCTCTTCATTTTATGTAGGTATTGGTCCTTAATGGCAATCTTTAAATAGTATATAATTTAGCATAGAATGCCTCTGTGGTCTAGTGGTCAGAGTTCCTGGCTACAGATCCAGAGGTTGGGGTCTACTCAGCCTTGTGAGGATAATTGAGGAGCTGTTTCAAGAAAACAGAAATTAACGACTGTGGGGATTTGTTGCGCTGACCATGTGACACTCTCTATCCTCTAAAGTTGTCACTAAATTCGCTGACAAGCAGTGGTTGCTCAGTTGGTCAGTATAGTTCACTTGCGAACTAAAACCACAGAGTTTTCTTTTTTCTTTTCTATATTTTTTTTTTTCCTTGGCACTACAGCCCCAGTGGGCCTAGGCCTAGGCCTACCTCCATGAACTTCTATAATTTTAGCATATATTTTTAAGTCAGTATATTCCTACTTCATTGTGGTATATTTTCAGCTGACAGTAAAATACATCTGAAAACACTTTCCCAGTAAATAAATATTGTGCCTTTCTTGTATGTATTGTTTTGAAATGAGATTGAAATTCTGTTACTGAAAACATGAAGATATGTTGATTACCTTGACAATGCACTGGAAATTGTGACAATATTGGGCACAAATGTACATACAGAAAAAAGAAACAAGAGTCTGTACTTACCACATGCTGGATGAACAAAAGTTTAAAGCAGATGAAGATTGAATCTGAAAGGGAAATATTAGATTTCCTTCACTTAACAGTAGACTTTATTTCTTTCAGATACCTGCATCATGTTTATAACACATGTATCGTTACTTGTTCTAAAATAGCACCACCCAATGAATTTCATTTCAGGAAAGTTTTTAGAACATTTGGCCAGGTGGAAAATTTTCTTAATATTTGAAACATCAGATCTTCATAAATCTTTAGTCTTAAATGTCTGATAATATCTCAGGTTGTCTGAGATGGGTTACAGAATGCAGATTATTACCATCTTGATAACTGGAAGAAAGCTACAGATCTCTTTGATTCCGAATCTCCACTTCAGACTGTTGAAATTGTGCATCTGCTGTAGATGTCTAACAGAAAATGCACAGGTTATGAATTGTTTAAAGTGGATAGTTTCCTAGTGAACTGTGATCATTGAGAAACAACACATAAGGAGGAGCTGACGGCTAATCTGTTCCGAACACCCATCATTATGATTTCCTCATGCTTCACTAATGAACAGTGAATCATTGGCTCAGGTGGGCACCATGATGCATATGAAAGGAGAGGGAGGAAAAGCAAAATATTCTTGGGGGGGGGGGGGGACACTTATTGTAAGGCTGTGTATCCTACAGAATATAAAATAGATGGAGGTGCAAGTTGGAACTGATTGTGAATGCATCCCCCATCCTATCCAGGTAGAATGTGGTACATGGACATGTTAAACTTTTGTTTTGTGTTGTTTCTGTTTGTTGTTTTCGTTGTTGTCCTTGCTGTTACAGATGTGGGGATGATGATGATGCAGTCAGGCATGATGAAGGGTGGCTTCAATAATACTACTGCAACCTCCTACCAGAGCTATCTGGAGGGTAGGCCATGCCCCCGTTACATTATGTTACAGTTAGGGTTGCTCGAATCTCCTTCTGTCCGTCCAACAATTGGTTGACAGTTTGAGCTCGCTCTCACTCACTCTCTCACTCAGTCACTCACATTATTTCTCTGTCTCTTCTGTTTCCATTTCCCTTTGCCTGAAATCTTTCTCTCTGTGTCTTATCTCTCCTTGAACTAGTCACATTCTGAGCTTATCTTCCAGTGATAGAGGCATTCTAGCATGATAGCTAGCCTTACATTTCCGAAGGCTCCTACTCATGTTAGAGACTCCAAACTGGGACTGGAATCTCTTTGAATGTGTTTGCAGATAACATGGAAACTGTGAAATTATATTGACCTCATAGTCAGAAATTTAAAAAAACTGAAATTTATCCTTCTCAGTTATGTTTTTAAGATTTGAGGTCATTGTAGTGGTTAATGTTAAGACTTCTGTCTTTGGGGAAGCATCACAATGTACATGATAACCAGGGTTTTGGAGAAACCTGCCTTACATTGCCAGACCTTTTAATCTGTTAACAAAATGAGTAACAGGCCATTACTTGAGCATTTAAATATTGCATCCATGTAGCAGCATTTGACACTGTGTCAGACATTATATATATTAGGAGAAAAATGTAGGAACTGAATTTTTAAGTATTATTTAGATGAATTTCATGCTTAAAAAATCAATCATGGAAAATTTTAAAATTTTACAGTCAAATTGTTATCACAATAAATGTAACAAACAAGTATTACAATTGGAAACTATAAGATGTCCCTGTCTTTTGATACTTAAACTACTTTCATTTCTGTAGAGCTTTACAGAAGTATTTTTCCACAAGTTCCATGTTTTCTCAGTTCACTCTATGCCTCTCTTGTTTCTGTCTGTCTTATCTGTCCACTTGTCTTGCTAGTATCCTGACCCCTTGCAGGAGAATGCTGAGTGCTTGGCTTCGGTTTGTTGCAGGAATCTTGTGTAGTGTGAGGGAGAATGTGTCCATCCACAAAGTCAGATGCATGAATTAGTCATTACAATTTGTGGTGTCCCATTACATTAGCTTAATTTTTTGTTACATAGAGCAAGGGCATTTATTGCATATGCAAAGAAAGTAGCATTGTTGATCTACTAACTAAATGATGAATGACGATCAGTATTGTACTGAAGAGGTTTTAAAAAATGAACAACTACTTATTTAATATGCATAAATACTTCCACATACTTTTAGAGAGAAAAATAATTGTTGTGCCTCAGAGCCACACAACAAGGACAGGAAGGTAATGTGCATATAGATTTTGTACGTTTCTGATCATGGCACTACTGTCATAAGCAAGGTATCAGTTGCAAACTCTGATCTTTTTGTGCTACAAGAAAACCCTATCTCAAAATAAAAACGAAATTGGAAGTAATATATTTTAAAAACAAGAGAATAAACTTACCTGTTAAGCAGTATTTCATTAACTCTCTAGTGAAATACGAGTATATGTGTTTATAGGACTTGTATGAATTTATTTTAGTGTTGCAGTGTCTAGTTTTAAAATTATTTAATATGGTGGTAGATAATATGTGAGAAATTTTAAAGTACTTTTAATCTAGGCTAGAAGTGGCAATTAATTTAAGATTGGTTCATGACAGAGAGAGAAAAAAATGAAATGAAAGAATGTCAGTAGTAGAAGAAGTGAAGAAGCACTATTGTATTATTGTCTCTTTACTTCTGCGCCATATATTTCAGTTAAATACAAGCTAATAATTTTATCAACTGTCCAAATGAACTGGTCCATGCAAATGGTCAGCATGTGTTCTTTTAAACCTCATACCTTGAATTCTGTTCAATGCAGGTTCAGTGATTTTCCTATGTTCATATTAAATAAATATAATATTGCCCACAAATACCATCTGGTGAAAGTATTGTAATTATAGTTATAAATAAAATGTTATTGATAAAAATGTAAAGAACAAATATAGGAACTCAGTACTTGAAAATGGAGTACTATCTTCCATTGTAATTACCACTGAACATCTCAGTTATAGAAGTTATATGTGGTATGTGTGCGTGCGCGCGTGTGCATATGTGTGATATTGTGACACATGGGCCATTTCTACATCAGTAGAGGAATGTCACTGATAGGCAACGACCCCATAAACATTCTCACAGCAATGAATACAAACAACAATAGGGAATACATTGTTATAACCCAATGCTAGGCAATTGCATTTTAATACAAGAATGGTAGAATTTTCGTATGTGGTCCATGCCTGGGAATTATAAGAGGTTCCAGAATAAGCTAGGAGTCAGTCGTAGCTAGTTGTAGCTGAGGAGCTGTAAATTAAGGACACAAAGCAGTCATGGAAAGGAGTAGCGCAGAGTCCAGATGAGAGTTCAGTTTGCGACAAGAGGCTGTGAAGTAAAGAGTTAGTTGCAAGAGTGCAGCTGTCAAGAGAAGACTTTCTGCATAATATTTGCAGTGTGTAATTCAGTGAGACTGTTATAGTACCTGTGTTATAAATCTGTCGCCAGGAAATGGATACTGAACATGTTATTTATATATTATAATTACGTTAATCCTTAGAGTGTTAGGGGCACGCGGTGGCATAGTTAGTGGAGGCACTATGCTACAAGATGGGAGGTTGCGGATCTGAGTCCCAATGAAGTGGATTTTTTCAATTTACCTAATCATTCCAGCCGCACTATGGCCTTGGAGTCAATTCAGCCTTGTAACAAAAGGGTGGCCGGTGCATAAGGTTGACAACCTTATTGCCATCCATGAACCGATTGTCTAAAGAAAATGTGGGAGCCTAGATGTCTCACAACCCTGTGGGCCTTCACAGCCTGTTACAGGGATAGCTTTTACTTTAGAGTGTTATATAACTAATTGTAGTTATGACCTTTAAGTGCTCAGTAAATCCAAAGACCAATCTGAACCCCATCTTTAGTCACTAGTACACATGACAATATGTATGAATCTGTTGAATTAATATAAGATTTAGTAACAAACTATAAATGTGTGACAACGCAAACCAGTCCTTAGAAGAATTGTCACTTCAGCCTTACACTAGTATTTATGGCATGTTTTGTCAAGGTGACCTAGAGACTTGCATTGCTATAGGTTTATTTTAGAATATGTAATAGAAAATGAATGTAACTTAAATAATGAGTGAAAAGGAAAGCATCTGTCAGAACATAGCCTCTTAGAGACACTGAGAGAAGAAAAGTTATAGATACTTTTGTAGAAGGCCATATTCCATATAGTGAAAGTTGAAATTTAAATATCTAAAGGTTTCCTACTTTCAAGTTAATGTGATGCCCTGTTCTGATAAATTGTTTTCTCTACCACACTGCATATAATATACACAGTGAAGTAGAGTGAAACCTGTTCATTATGGCTAGCCTTTGGTTTCACCCAAATGTGGCCATCTTAAGCAGGTGTTAAAATTTCATCAGTTTTATTTATAGTGACTACTCAACTAGTGCATTTTATTGCTTTTGCCTGCTGCCATGTCATGCTCTTTCAAGCATTTTTTTCTGATCTTTGGGTAATTGGCAGACTGCATGTTTAATGTAAATTAATGGATCTGAAGTAAATGACAAAGAACAGTGTGGTAAATTGAATAAGAAGAAACAGCCATTTAGCAAATTTGTAACCATCAGTGGCAAAGAATGAGAGGAAAGGGTGTTAAGCAGGTACATGCAAGGGGCAAATTAGTATCTACCATTGGTACCTAAAGTGCAAAAGATTATTTTTCTGTGTGGTTGACATAGAAATGTTTAAAATGTGTACAGAACTGTAGCATAAAATGCAAAAATGTGCACAAAATAACAAGATTGACAGCGGGTCTAATTAAAGAGGGTTGACCATAAGTAAATTAATATAATTTTGCTTGCCAGTTTCATAGCCAGTTATGACAAGCTGTTGACGTACATGGGTGCCATTTTCACAGGTTTCACCATATACATACAATTGAATCATGAAACATGTTTTCCTAGAGTGTAGATTATATTTCTGAACTTCAATAGCAAGATCATTTCAGTATCAAGTAGCATATTAAGAAATTGGTGGTCAGTAGTGGACTTACTAATAAAGGTAAAAGGTGCGCCTATGCTTAACTAATTAAGCACTACACCATGAAGATGTATGGGGTAGTTGATGTATAGATCCATATTTTCTTGACCATGGCACTAGTTGGAGGTGAGTGGTCAGCTTCACGTCCTGGCCACTTTACCCATGGGGAAAGAGCCCCAGTGCCCATTTGGTAGGAGGTTGGTTGGACCCCAGAGCTAGTCTGGATGAGTGGAGAAGGGAAAATTCTTGACCCTACTGGGACTCGAACTCCGACCCCTTGGTCATCCAGCAAGTAGCTAGTCACTATACCGACTACGCTATCTTGGCTCTGGACTTAACTATGATGATGATGATGATGATGATGATGATGATGATGATGATAATAATAATTTCAATTTCAATTTCAATTCGTGTTTATTTATGTGCAAACTTAACAGCACAGTGGCCAATTACANAACCCAATTCTTATTTATTCGTGTGGCAGCTCAATAATAATAATAATAATAATAATAATTCATGTGACCCAGCAGCCATGAGACTGATTACAGAATGCTGAGAAAAGAATAAGGAAAATTATAAACTGAACAAACAGAACAGAAGACAATACAGATGAGACATCACATGGAAATAGTATGCATATCTAAAAATTGGGAAAAGGCTCTGACACTATGTTAGTGAAAGCAGCAAAGTTAAGTCCTAGTATATGGAGGCACTCCACAGGCAGTGGCTGTTACTCACCCATCATTGTCAGTTGGTATCCTCTTCCCCAGACTTCTGCTGTACTCTGCAGGCAGAGATCCCATGAGTTCCCCTACCTCTGACCAATGGAAACCATTGAGCATAACAAATCAACCACAATGTGATGATGGATCCAGTTTCACTATGTATCCACAAAAATACAAAGTTTATTGAACCCAACACTGCAAACCACAGCAGAAGC